AAAGGTAACTGTACTTACCTTGCAATGCATGCCGCAGCCACCACACCCAAAATAGAGATGCTAACTTGTGGAGGTATTTGCAAAATATACAAAGACCCCCGAATGTAACAGATCCTCTTTTAATTAGTGGCGTTTAATTAATTTTAAAATAGGATGATTAAAGGGACATTCTAAGCACCAGAACCACTACAGATTAATGTAGTGCGGTCTGTTCCTGCAGTCTCCCAGTTGTAAAAGCTGCCTATACAAATACAACTCTACATTCACACGCATGTGCACCATTCAAAAACATGCTTACTTTAACAGTGTGACAGAACCCATGCCAGACCGGCAGTTCACTTAAGTGAGTTCAGGTAACTTTATAAGAACTCACAGAGAGCTGCATTCTAGGGCAGGAGGAGGCCGAGAAAGGAAGGAGCAGAGTGGACTAAGAGAGCCTAGAACAGCTTCAGACTCCAGTCAGCCTCAGCCAGCACCTGCAGCCAGATCCCACTGGACCCCAGGGAGGTCCCCCTCCTGAACTCAAAAATTATGGAAACAGGATGATGGCCAAGGCTGGTGGCCAGGGCTTTTCACATCTAGAAAATTTTATTTTTGCGCTAGCATATTTTTATTGTTTGTTATTTTTTTTTGTTCCTTTAAAATTGTGTATCTCTTTGTTTCTTTAAATCGTTAAAGCCTACTTTCTTGGGAAAATTACATAGTGGGACAATGAAAATATTCTAATTTATATGAAAAGAATAATGCCTGCCTGAGGGCACAGAAGTTAAAATCCACAGTATCTTAAAGACAGGTATTCACTAACCCTAGAATGCTAGGATCCCTTAGTCTTAATCAATCCCTAACCTTACTTTTATTCTAACAAGCGCAATTTAAAAAACATATACCTGGGAGTTGTGTAACAGTAACACTCATCTGCAAATCCAGTCATACAAGATCCTGCGCACATACTCACTCACTAAGCACGAACTTAAAAGCTCACAAAATGTAATATTTTAAAAACAAAAACACCTGTCAAAAATAATGGGGGTTTAGTTACATTATATGGTCATACATTGCACAAGCCTTCCACAATGTCAGTGTACCCCATTCTTGGCAGGTCCTACTCTAGTAGCTTAATGCCTGCCCTTATGAGATTAATCCACTTACTTGGGAAATGCAAGGTTACATACGGCCCTGAAATGAGGCATAAGTGACAGGGATGGGTACAAAAACCAGAGAGCTAGCCTCGACTCCCAAAAATATTTATTTATGAAGCCAAGAAGGCTGCACTCACCTGAACTTCCATATGTTATAATGGTGTTTCTGGGGGCAGTTTGCAAATGGACTGAAACGCTGATCTGATGTAACCAAGTTTGGAACACATTTAAGGTTTATTTATGAAGTCCATTGAGTGCTCGTCCATTTTACCCTGTGTTTATGTGCAAATAATACATTGTATGTCTCAAATAAATATTGAAATCATCAGCATTTATCCTTAATTGGGCCATTGTATTGCTGGCGCAATGACTTCATCTGCGAATATCATTATTATTCACTTAGTGCCAACATATTCAGTAGCGCTGCACAATAAGAATATAAAATATATCAGATAGATGACAAAGAAGTTAATGTAAAAAGTAATTAGATGTGACAAGAGCCTTGTTAAAACTGGCTTACAGTCTTCTTGCGTTTTGGTCTGTCATTAGTGTTCACATAGTTAAAAGATCATTAACTCTCTTAACTGCCAGTAAAACCCGCGATATATTGTCAGGATACTGTACCTGTGAGCAACTTAAGCAGGCATTCAGATAACGCAACCAATCTGCCTCAAACCTGCCCCAACCCATCCATTATTACACACCTGCCTTCAAACCCTGGCCCGTAATCTTGAAAAATAGAGGAATAAATTGACCTTGATAAAGTGTTTTTTTCCTCCCTTGGCTGTTCCTGAGTAAGTTTATTTGAGGTGCGAGCGGTGAAATGATTAGCGTTAACAGCTTTCCCGCTGCTCTTTATTTTACTGTGTCTTTCTATCTTGCTGATATATGAGATGTTCAGCGTATAAGGTAGAGTCTGCTTCAAGTCTCTCAAGGTTGACAGAGTGAATGAAGGAGTTGGCAGGTCCCTTATCTTGATAACTAAGGGACAGCAGTTGGCTTTTCCATACGACCGTTACGCTGCCCTTCACGCCTGGCGTAGCTTATATGCATTTCGGCTCACCATTAAACACAGTCTCTCCGAGTTAAGAAGAACAGACTCATTCCTCAAACACGCCAGCTAATATTTTATGGCCATTTTAAAGTTTCCGAATTCCCTCCTGGCTCTGTTTGAACACTAAACTCAGCTCAAATGATTGCCACTTTTAAAAACTTCTGTCAAGATAAAAATATATATATTTTTTTACCTGTTATTGTTAAATTAAAAAAAAATCTAAATTAAAAAAAAAGACAAAGAGTAAACATTTTTATATACATTTTTTGTTATGCAGAATCTAATATTCTAGGTTTCAGAGGAAAATAAGAGGGATTTAAGTGGGTTTAAACAATTTGGAAAATACATCTTTATAGCATCTTTGGGGGTTTACTGGTGGTTTACTTTAATCTTGCAAATGACAATTAACTTTCTGTCAGAATTTAATGATTAAACAGAGACTCATCGTCACTTCAGAGCTGTCTTGCAAAACTGAGGCTAACATAGCTGATTTGGATAAGAATTTCAATTCAACTGGATTTTTCTAACTGTTATTTTGGGCTAATCGTGTTTGTTGCCACAGCTCACTGTTTAGTGAAAAGATCCCACAATGTCTACAAAGATTTTAAATTCTAAGCTAGCCTGAAATTAAATGGCTGGTAACTAATTAAGGAGTATTAAAGAAGCAGAAATATTTCTATACCCATCCGATTAGCTGCAGAGAAAAAGGGGTATAAAAATGTAGCCTAAAATATTTTCCTTTTAGTAGCTAAAAAAGAAAGGAAACACCTTTGTCTGTTAGCTCTTTTGAGCAGGGTCCTCATCAACATATTGTTCCTGTAACATTTTATAACAGTCTTATTTATAGTTAAATGTGCCCATTTTATAATAATGTCAAGCATTGCAGAATAAGTTGGTGTTATATAAATACTACTACTACTACTAATAATAATAATGTTGTCACTCAAATGCATTGGATTCCCTATTGTGGCTGAATAGGATTGCAATATTTATCAACACAGATGCGCAACAGTTGTTATATTGTGGTCAATTACATTACAACCAAAAGCATAATTTTAAATAATTTCAGCGGCTAGGGTTAAACAGCGCACTGTAGTGGTTATGGTTCCAGGAGTACGCTGGTGCCATCCTTCTGGGTCAATTGAATGGTTTGACAAGTTTAATATTTCGGTATAAACTTATTAAATGATTTAATAGTTTTGGATAAACTTAAAATAAATATATCAGATATAAATAATATATCAATATATCAAAATATTACAATATTAAAATGTTTTCATATTATTACATTGTTTTGAAAGTTTGTCCAAAAATATTAGATAATTTAAAAAGCTTAGCTAACAATGTTAAATCAAGGCCTTACTTGGTTACGCCTCTCCATCCAAATGTAAATTATGGCAAATTGATATATTTAATGCAGAAATTGATCTTCTACTTTATGTTTGAAAAGGGGGCCAGACCAAACGCGTCCGTAGCCCATGGAGCAGCGTAGCTAAGGGGAGTGGGCCTTGACATTGCCAGGAGACAGGCCATCTAAAGGTCAGGGTTCAGGGATTGGTCACTGGTAATGCTGGGGTGGAGTTTCAAGGGGAGTATAACTAGTGGCCATTTTAGATCCAAGGATCCAAGGATCACTTTAATCTAAGTTACACTACCTGTTTGTTGTGGCAGCATTTGTGTGGCTGTTTTCTTTGTTTCCTCTGCAGGTCAGCAAGATGGAAGATTGGCTGGAAGGAGTCCGGGCTGCTGTGCAGGAGAGGGGGATCGAGTGGCTCAGGGATCGCCTGGGTGATGCTCTGCCATCCGGATCTGGAGGTTCCCAGGGTCAGAGGCCAGTCAGGAAGACCAGGCCTCCGCAGCGGTTGAGCCCTAGCGTGGTTCCCGGGCCCCGGCGTCAGAAGAGCCCTTCCGGATGTCCCAATGGCGGTGAGGAGAGTGCCGGCGGGGAGGCCCCAAGTGGAGGAGGTCTTGGACGGCGTCGCGGCGCAACCGCGCGAACGAGCTGTCAAGCGAGGCTGGAGGTGCAGACTGCTGGTTCGGGAACCGAATCAGAGACTGCCGAACGTTCGGGAGGCAAACGTGGAGATATGCGAACCAGCAAACTGGCGGAAACTGCCGAACGTTGGAGGTGAACGTGGAGGTAGGCGAACTGGCGAATGGGAGACAACTGCCGAACGTGGAGGTACTGTTACTGCCGACCGTTCGGTTCCCGAACGGGGAGGTGAAAGAACTGCCGAACGTTGGGGAGTTGAACGGGGAGGTAGCCATACTGCCGGCCATTCGGCTGCCGAACGGGGAGGCAAGAAAACTGCCGAACGTTCGGTTTTTGTGTCTTCTTTTGCAGGGAATGAAGGAGAAGCGGCCGCAGGTGATAGGAGTCCTGGAAAGGGGCCTGGAGAAGCACGGGCCAGTGGAAGAAGGATGAGCGGTACAGCAGGCTTGGCAGCAGGTCACGGGAACGCTGGAAGCGCTGTTGGAGGAACAGGGACAACGGCTATACACCGTCCGGGTGAATCGACCTCTGACGCCAATGCCCCGCCAATGGCTGGGCCACGGGTTACCCTGGAGGTGGGCCCCGGTGTTGGCTTGGCTAGTGACGGCAGGGGGGCAAGAGGCAGACAGGGGACGGCTAAGGCATGGAGCGGTCCAGAGGGGTATAGCGCAGCAAGACGGAACAGAGGGTCATCAGGCAGCGGGCGGGAGCACAGCACTTCCCCGGGTTTTCCTATACGACCGGGGAAGGGACGACAACAGGCGAAGCTGGTAGTTAGGGGAGGATCAGAAGGGAGTGACAGCGATGAACAGCGCAGAAGGTTGGCACCAGCAAAGATGACAGCATGCAGGGCTAAAGCGAAGGGCGCGCAAGGCGCCGGGAGGGACCGGTCACGAAGCAGCCATCGGAGGGTAGCTGACATAGTCGACAGGGACCCCCGCGGGGTGGACCACACCCAGGGGAGGCATAGGGCGCCCCCTGTCGGTTCAAGGGGATGGTTGCAGCAGGACGGCAGTTCCATGAGCGGGAGTTCCCCGGAGAGGAGGTGGTCTGCTGTGCAGGCTCATGACCCTCGGGGGGGACGGCTAGCAGGGAGATGGGGGACTGTTCCCAGGATGAGAGGGGACGGGGCAGGGTTTCTACGGCCAGCCTACCCATGATGTCTTCTCCTTACAGGTTTCGAGAACGGTCACCCTCGGAGAGGGAGAGACCCCAGGCGACAAGGACAGCAGGACGGTCGCTGGCATGCAAGGCGGACCCGGTTACAGGACAGGCGTCTTCCAGGTCCCCCGCGGATCGGGTGAGACCCAGCGCATCAGGAGCATGGCCCGGAGCAGCGGAACATTTGGGGCAGGAGATCCGCGGTCGGTCAGCAACCCCACGGCCTTCGGTGGCAAGGGGTGCAGAAGGTGAGACATGGTCGTTACAACAGTCGGGGGAGCTGCTAGATGACATTAGGCGGTTAATTGATTCCTGGGGTGTAGGGAGAAGGAAGGACACTGAGTGCAGTCAGGTTTGGGCTCGGGTGGGAGAGGTCTCAGGGGCTAGTCCGGTGAGGGTTTCTGGGGCCAGAGGCAGCACAGTTGGAGATGGGGGTGCGACCCCCACAGTAGAGGCGCCCGGGTTGCGAGTGAGAGGGAGAGCTTATTGGGGGGCGTCCCGGAGGCCGCACGGCAGAACGTTCATGTTTCTTTCGCAGGCCCACTGGGCTGTCATCTCAAAATGGAGGTTAAGGAGAGGATATGGAAAGGGGAGTTCGTGAAAATCTTTTTTTTTCGCTTCTCCCCCTTGAGGACTACATTGACCTCAAGGAGGAGGATAAAAAGGATGCCAAAAAGTAGGAGGAGGAAAAGAAGCGCAGGTATAGGAAGATACCTAAGACGTTTGGGAACTGGCTGAGGGCATTTGGCATCTTGGCCAGCGTGATGGGCAAAAAGGCGGAAGAGCGCTGTTCGCAGCTCTTCTGTTACCTGGATGGTATTTGGGAGGCTTATCGGACATACGGGGGTCTGGCCTGGTGGCGGTATGACGAGCAGTTTCGTCAATGCCTGGCTGCTAATCCGGGGATGTGGTGGGACCAGATGGATCTACCCCTCTGGATAAAACTTATGATGGCGCAGAAGGCGTCCCCCTTTCAGACAGGGGCCGGCAAGGGCGCGTCTACCGCTGTGTCGGCCAACCAAAAACGGGGCTACTGCTGGCTGTATAATGAGGGACAGTGCAAGTGGGGGGCCACTTGTCGATTCAAGCACGAGTGCTCCGGGTGTGGAGGCACCCACGGACTTCACAGGTGTTTCAAAAAAGGGAAGTCAGCCTCCGCAGCAGGGGTGCCTGGAGGTTCGACAGGGTCCCTTGCCTCTGGGGGCCACACCAGTGAAGGTCGGCTCAATGCGGTCGTGGCTAAGCCACTACGCTAACAGGGACGATGCGGCATTGCTAGAGGAGGGGTTCACCAACGGGTTCGTTATCCCGTTTCGGGAGCGAGTGGTGGCTCATCGTCTTCGCAAACTGAAGTCGGCAGGGGAATTTCCGGGGGTGGTTAGGGAGAAGTTGCATAAGAAGGTTCAGCTGGGCAGGGTGGTGGGGCCGTTCAGGGAGCCCCCGTTACCCAACTTGAGAGTATCACCACTTAGGGTGGTACCCAAGAAGGAGCTCGGCAAGTACCGCCTGATTCACCATCTGTCCTACCCCAAGGGGTCGTCAGTTAATGACGACATAGACAGGGCCCTTTCTTCGGTTTCGTACGCTTCGTTCGACCAGGCGGTGAACCTGGTGCAGCGAGCCTGCCTGGGGGCATTGTTGGCGAAGGCGGACGTGGAGGCGGCTTTCCGCCTTTTGCCAATTCACTCGAAGTGTCATCACTTGCTGAGTTGTCACTTTGAGGGGGAATATTACATAGATCTTTGTTTGCCCATGGGGTGCTCTATATCGTGCGCATACTTTGAAAAATTTAGCACATTCCTGGAATGGGGGGTAAAACTGGAAGCGGGCACTAGGATGGTAGTCCATTATCTGGATGACTTCCTATGTGTAGGGCCTCCTGGATCGGAGGAATGTCGCAGGGGATTGAGGACACTGGAATGGGTGGCACATGTGATTGGAGTCCCCTTGGCAAGTGACAAAACGGTGGGGCCTACGACCTGCCTGAGTTTCTTGGGCTTGGAGATCGACTCGGTAAAGGTGGAGTGCAGGCTGCCACAGGACAAGTTACTGGCACTCCGGCAGGCAGTGGCGGCGGTGCGGGGAGCTAAGAAGGTTACGCTCCTGGCGCTTCAGTCTCTGCTCGGTCGGCTAAACTTCGCCTGTCGGGTGATTCCGGTCGGATGTTTTTTTAACAGGTTCCTAGCCAGGGCAACAGCGGGGGTGGTGTCGCACCACCTTATTGGGGTATCAGCACCATGAAGGCTGACTTGGACATCTGGGGGGAATTCTTGCGTGATTTTAACGGGAAAGTGTTCTTTCGGGAGCCGGCGGCGTCTTCTCAGGAGTTGGAGCTGTTTACGGACGCGTCTGGGAGTGTCGGGTTTGAGGCTTACTTTTCGGGTCAATGGTGCTCGGGTACTTGGCCAGGGGCCTGGAAGGCCAGCCCGCTGATATGCAACCTAGCGTTCCTGGAATTGTTCCCGTTGGTAGTGGCGCTGTCACTATGGGGTCCACAGTTGAGGGATAAGAAGGTGGTATTCTTTTTGGACAATATGGCTATGGTAGATGCAGTGAACGGGCTATCAGCGTTCTCTATCCTGGTGGTGCGGCTTCTTCGCCGTTTTGTCTTGTTCTGTATGAGGTTTAACATTGTGTTTCGGGCGCGCCACGTGCCGGGACTGTTGAATGTCATTGCTGATGCATGGTCTCGTTCACAGTGGGAGAGATTTCGGCAGGTGGCACCTGGCGCACGGGAGGAAGGGATGTCTTGCCCGGATGAGATGTGGCGGCTCGGGACATCATGCTTGGCGGACTGATCAGGGATTCCCTGGCACCCGCTACTAGCATACAGTAAGGTGTGGGGGGGAATGGGGCGAACTGGTGCAGCAGACAGGGGGTCAGCTCTCAGAGGAGGCGCGGTTGGATGCGCTGCTGTGGCTCTTGTGTAGGTCAGTTACCACAGGGGTTTCGGCAGCGGTGATGGGGCGTAAGCTGGCAGCGCTAGCGTTCTTGTTCAAATTTAACGGGTGGGAGGATGCTACCAAACGTTTTCTGGTTAGACAGGCACTGAAAGGTTTCAGGAGGGGTAAAGTGTCAGTGGATACTAGGAGGCCGGTGTCGTTCGAATTGCTGCAGCGAATGGTCCGAGTGCTGCCCGCGGTGTGTTTTTCAGGATACGAAGTGACGTTGTTTTCCGTGGTTTTTAGTTTTGCCTTTTTTGGGGCATTTCGGGTCAGCGAACTAGTTAGCAGCAATCGCCAAGGGTCCGGGGGACTTCAGGCGATGGACGTGGAAGTGTGGAGCAACAAGGTAGTGATTAACCTGAGGCAGTCCAAAACGGATGTAATGGGGAAAGGAACGTTGGTTACGTTGTGGGAGCTCCCAGGTGGGAGAACGTGCCCGGTTAAGTGGCAACGGCCTTCCGGGAGGTGCGGGCAAAAGCGGGGGTTCATATTTCAAGCATGAGGACGGCTCTTCGCTATTGAAGTTCCAGTTCCTCAGGGTTTTTCGGAAGGCGTTGGCAAGGTTGGGTGTGGACCCGGGCCAATTCGGGACACATTCTTTCAGGATTGGTGCGGCTACTGAAGCGGCGAGACTAGGTTTAGGTGACGAACGGGTGAAAAAGATTGGCAGGTGGGAGTCCATGAGGTTCAGGTCTTACATTAGGCCAGACAAGTTGGTTTAAGTTGGAGGATGGAAAAGGGGGAATGTTGGTGGTTGTTTTGTGGTTGTCTATGTTTGCTTTATGTTTTACAGGTCGGATGGCATGGGTGGTCGGCCACTCATACGTACACTGGGCGCAACGGAGAGCTGCAGTTCGACGTCACGGTCTACAGCTGGGCTTTCCAAGTTCTGTGGTGCAGCTTCGGTGGTTTGGTTACCGGGGCTGGGGTTGGAATGTTATATGTGAGGAAATGTTTCACAAAATTCTTTTGGGACAGGTTCCGGACATAGTGGTGCTTCATGCAGGGGGCAATGATGTGGGGTCGTTACCTCAAAAGGTCCTGCTCGAGTGTATGAAGAGGGACGTGGACAGGTTAAGGGAGTTAGTGCCAGGGTTATGGTAGTATGGTCGGAAATGGTTCCGAGGTTGTACTGGCGGCACGCGCGGAATCCCTCCGTGGTGGCGAAAATTAAGGGTAAGGTTAACAAGGTGATGGCAGCGTATGTGAGGCGGTCAGGGGGGGTTGTGATCAGGCACAGGGAGTTGGAAGACATGCTCCCAGGTTATTATAGGAGTGATGGGGTCCATCTGTCCGATGTGGGTTTGGACTTTTTGTTGCTGGGTTTCCAGGAGGGCCTCCAGAGAGCGCTTTTTTCCCTAGGGGGGGTGTCACTCAGGAGCTCGAGGAGTCGAGCTCTGAGCTGTGGCGGGGGATGGAGAGTAAAGTTGGGGGGAGAAAAGAGTGAGATGGGGAAAAAGTTTGGAGTTCAGGGCTAATAGGTAGGCCTTTGGACTGGTTTGGTAGGTTCGAGCTCGTAGGTAGCTCCGAACCGGGGTGTGTATGGGGTGTCTCGGTATGCCCCTACACTTGTGGTGCCCTTTGGTGGCAATGGATGGTGCCCTTTGGTGGCAATGGTCATGTTCATGTTAAATAAAATGTTCAATGTTTGGGTGTTATGTTATGTGGGGGTGGGTCATTGTCAAGGGGTTAATTGTAAATGCAGGATGTTAATTGTGCAGGCCAACGTTGGCCTGCTGTTGACAATGACCTTTAAATTTATGTTAATTACAAATAAAGCTGTGATATAATTTTGCCAAAACCATGGTGTCTGTGCTTTATTGGGGATTGGGGTATTTGGTGGGGGTTCTTAAGCAGAGGCCGACAAGGAGACTGTGCTCATGTCATGTAGCCCATGGAGCAGCGTAGCTAAGGGAAGTGGGCCTTGACATTGCCAGGAGACAGGCCATCTAAAGGTCAGGGGTCAGGGATTGGTCACTGATAATGTTGGGGTGGAGTTTCAAGGGGAGTATAAGTAGTGGCCATTTTAGATCCAAGGATCACTTTAATCTAAGTTACACTACCTGTTTGTTGTCCCACCCACCCTCCCTTTGCTTTCAGGTGTTTCCCGTTTGGTCACGGCGGCGGGGATGGAGAGTAAAGTTGGGGGGAGAAAAGAGTGAGATGGGGAAAAAGTTTGGAGTTCAGGGCTAATAGGTAGGCCTTTGGACTGGTTTGGTAGGTTCGAGCTCGTAGGTAGCTCCGAACCGGGGTGTGTATGGTGTGTCTCGGTATGCCCCTACACTTGTGGTGCCCTTTGGTGGCAATGGATGGTGCCCTTTGGTGGCAATGGTCATGTTCATGTTAAATAAAATGTTCAATGTTTGGGTGTTATGTTATGTGGGGGTGGGTCATTGTCAAGGGGTTAATTGTAAATGCAGGATGTTAATTGTGCAGGACAACGTTGGCCTGCTGTTGACAATGACCTTTAAATTTATGTTAAGTACAAATAAAGCTGTGATATAATTTTGCCAAAACCATGGTGTCTGTGCTTTATTGGGGATTGGGGTATTTGGTGGGGGTTCTTAAGCAGAGGCCGACAAGGTGACTGTGATCATGTCATAGGAAATCCAGCTAACTAACTATTCGAAAATGATTTGACTCTTATCTAGGGGACTGCACCAGGGGACTCTTTGTACTATAACCATTAGTATGCTGTTGTGGTTATGGTGTTTAGATAAATTGAGGTTGCTTTACTCTCTGCTGCTCTGATTTGTCCTTCTCACAGCAACTAATTCAAGCCAATAAGCTTCCAGGGTGCTCCTTGCTGGACAAAGCACACTGTGCAAATTGGGGCTGTGGCATCTGACGTTACCAACAAATAAAAAATAAAAAGTGTGCACACAGTGGGCGTCCATGGATACATAGTACCTTCTCTCAGGTGTTTAGTAAAACTGTCTTCCTTTACTAGAACATTTTTAAAAAGATAAAAATACTATTTGTGCGGAAACTTACACTGAATAATAAAGCTTTGTAGTGACAATCTAGTACTTACATGGACAGAGCGTAGGCTAGCTCTCATGTGACATAACTGGCTGGGCTTATAATTACAAATTCCCAAAGTACTACGATGTTGCATGCAGAAATACGGGACCTGGGGACTCCATGCACTGTAACATATGCAAGAAGTGGAGTTTCTCTGAGTGTCCATTAAGTTTTGTCACTAAAAGAAAAGCTTTTTGTTTTGTTTTTTTAAACCTTGT